ATGATCTTGCAGGTGATTGTGGGGAGGTTTGCCAATTGACCTTAGTGAAATCAAAAAAGAAAAGTAAGTTTGCTTTTTTATATTTGAAAGTTGGCACCTTTGTTTATATTCTTTGCACTAGACCGTTGCTCGGAACCATCCATCTTAATCTTTCTGATAATTTACAAGGCCCCTTGACGGCAGTGGAAGGGGCACATGTTTTTTACTAAAGGGATACTTAACGACAGCAATGAACTTAACATCCTTATTATATGCTTTCTATTAGCTCTTTGATCAGAGCTATCTTGTCCTGCAGATAGTTCATTTGTGTTTGGAGGGGCGACCTTCATCTGATCTGACCACATGGAAAAGCTCTCTTTGTGTTGATGAAGAATTCTTCATCTCAAACAAGATAAACTGATGTTAAACCCTGGGGGGCACGTCTTGGTTTGGTTTTCTTGCAAGAAAACTTTATGGGATGATTATGAAGTTGAAAGTTACTTTCTATGTAATGCCATATGCAGCCAGTTTGTTGGCCTTTGTCTATGAATCCTTCAAAGACAGCCATGGATTGTTTACTTAAACCTGTTAAAGCTCGTATTGCTGAAGTTCAATTTCCTCTTGTCCCTCATTGAAAGATTATAGTCTTTATTAGTGTCTCTGCTCATTATAGCTTATTCCTCGAATGTTACAAATATTCAATGTTCAAAATTTTTGACAATCAAACAGTCATTGAAGTTCAATGTGAAATCTTCTGAAGTTGTCTATGCTACGGATAAGCTACTCATGTTACCATTATTTCCTTGTTTTGTTTTGTTTTAGATTGTTATGACCCTTCGCAATATTATGCCTCCACTTTAGCAAATGGGAGTTTCACTAAAACACCCAAAATGGGGGCTGAAATTATAAAAAAACCCAACACCCAAAACACTTTATTAACACACCCAAAACCCATCATTACACACTCAAAACCCATTTATAAACACACCCACAAAATATACAATTGTTGATTTTGGGTGTGTTTCTATGTTTAAATAGTATTTGGGTTTTTTTATAAATACATGTCTAGGATTGAGTTTATTTATAAATTTGTATTAGCAAATTAATTAGAAGAGACTTCGGAGTTGGGATATTATAATTAGAGTGCTACATGCACAATTAATCATAACATTTTTCTTAAATTGTTGAGCGTTAACAAGCAAAATATGCATGCACTCGCATTTTATTTGCACTTACAATTGTTGTGCATGGAACTAAATTGACATTGATTTTATTTGAACTGTGCATGTATGTTTTGCTCGTTAACGCTCAACAATTTTAAGAGAAATGTTAAAATAAGTCTTTCTTTTTATTTTAATCTCCTGGAACGTTTACTTACTAGGAATGGAAGAAGTCATGAATCGGGGAATTTTGATAGGTAAATTATGGAATGGGAATCAAATCAATTACTCCTCCTAGTTGATCCCATTCCTGATTTTGAGGTACGGATTTTAACATAGAACCCCTATATATATATTTTTTTAATCCTTATGTGTTGGCAAACGTATGTTAGTAACAAGGTCTAAAATATTGATGGTTTCGGAAATATCGATAATCCAAAAACATAAAAATTTCTATGGAAATATTAGGATATTATCGATATTGATAAAAATTGAATAAAAACCACGGAAATTGTAATAAAAACTTAGAAATTTTTCTTGAAACTTTGGAGGATGTTTATTTAGTCAATTTTTTATTACATTATCACAAAAAATTGGAAGGAAATGCATTGCATGATGGGTTTAACTGATTTAAGTTGATTATATAGTAAGCTGACAAACACTGCGAGTGTAGAAAATATATAGTAATTAATGAAAGAAGATTAAGAACACCATAATCATTTATTTGTAATGATTTACTACAATATTTTACACTTTATACATTGCGTGGTAAGATGTACACGAGTGACATCCTCCTAAGGTTTTCGGTTTTTTCACAAAACTCTTTGAGGTTTTAGAAATTACAAGAACACCGCCTGAGGTTTTAAATTGTTTTCACAAAACTCTTTTCATTGATTTTTCATCCAAAGATTGATGATTTTATACAACAAAAAAAAATCTCCAAATGACAAAGTTGGGCTTTGAGATTAGATTGCATATACTTCATTGAGGTTAATTTTGTCATTTGCATAAGTTTTTTTTTTTCAATGAAATCATCAATTTTTGGACAAACAATCAACGAAAAAGGGTTTTGTGAAAACAAACTGAAACCTCAGGGGGTGTTCGTATAATTTTTGAGACTTGGGGGGTTTTGTGAAAACAAATTGAAACCTCAAGGGGTGTTCGTATAATTTTTTAGACTTGATGGGGTTTTGAAAACACAAGCAACCTCTTGGGGTATTAGTGTAAATAACTCTTCAAATTTTTCATTGTCTCGATATTATCGATATTATAGCGATATTTTGTCCAAATATTGCTGAACTGTGAGAGAAATTATCAACGTCGATATTATTTTCCGATATTATTGTCAATATTATCGATATTTATACGATATGTGTATGGATACTTTCCAAAATATCCTCGACCCGAAAAAACAATAATATCCTCGATATTTCATCGATATTATCAATATTTTAGATTATGCTCTTGAAGAATTGGAAATAGGAAATGGATGCCAAACAGGTCTGTTATCATTACTAGAGACAAAGTTCTTGTTTCTACTTGATGCTTATAGGATTATTCACACTGACCATTATATGATATAGCAGGTGATTGTGGAAAGGTTTTCCAATTGACCTTCGTGAAATCTGTTAAATTCAAAGAGACGGGCCAGCGACCCACTAATAACAACACCGATATTGTCCTCAACTTAACCACCTACCAAGCCCAATAGGTGCGGGGTTTTATCACAAAATGTCTCGGTGATATTAGTAGTGGAACCATTCATTATATATTTTATTTTATTTAGTCAAGTTTCCGATGAGGGACTTATATTATTCAACACGCCCCCTTACATGGAACCACTACATAATGGGCCACATGTGGAGCCAAGTCCACATCGGAGTCAATTATTTAAGCCCAACACGTGAACACCACGTATTGGGTAAGGGGTATGGGTAAACATTCAAGCCCAACACCACGTATTGACCCTCGCGCACGGCGTTGTATTTTTTTGGGTTACCCTCCGGGGCAAAGGGGTTATAAACTTTATGACCTTGACACCAAACATTTTTTTGTGAGTCGAGACGTCAAATTTTTTGAAAATATTTTTCCTTTTCAATCCCACCAAAACACCCCACCAAGCTCTCTCACCCAACCGGTTTTACCTATACCATATCCAGATTATACATTTTTTTCCCCACCTAGTCCCACTCCATCACCTACACCTGCACAAATCCATCTACCCGATCCCACTATACCTACACAAAGGTCCCACTCCCTTTATACAAACCCACCTACCTAGACCCACTCCACCACCCGGTTCTACTATTCTAACATCTAGCCTCCCTCCTTTGGACGTTGCCTACTATTCCCATCGTCCCCAACCTATGCTAGGCCTCCTTCTCCTCACAACCCTACTGTGCCCACAGATGCAGTCGTCACCTTTACTGCTAACCCAATTCCTCCCATTCAAAATAATTAGGGTTTAAACTGATATGTTTATTCTTCTCTCAAGGAGGAATATATATACTACATACAAAGTGGGTACAAATAGGAAATATGTACAAAATCTCCTAATTCTACTCAAATTAGATAATTACAATAAAATATAAATTATATTCCTAATAGGAACAAATTCTATTCCTAATAGGAACATTGACTCACGCCAACACTCCCCCTCAAGTTGGTGCATAGATATCGGTAATTCCCAACTTGTCAAGTGAGTCTTCAAATTGGCGCTTTGACACGACATGGGTCAACATATTTGCAAGCTGCTCTGAAGAAGGCACAAAAGGTATAGAAATTAACTTATGCTCCAACTTCTCCTTAATGAAATTCCGATCAACTTCTACATGCTTAGTTCGATCATGTTGCACCGGATTGTTAGCAATTTCAAATGCAAACTGATTATCACAGTGGAGCTTTGTAGCAGCATCCGGTCTAAACCCAATTTCAGCAAGTAACCACCTCAACCACAATATTTCACAAACCTCTTGGGCAATCCCTCTGTACTCAGACTCTACAGAGGACCGAGACACAACGTTATGCTTCTTGCTACGCCACATAACTAGGTTACCACCAACAAATGTGAAGTAACATGATGTAGAACGTCTATCTGTAATATTCCTTGCATAATTTGCGTCAGTGTAACCTTCTAGATCCAAGTAGCCATTTTTCTTAAAAAATAAATCTCTCCCTGGAGCAAACTTTAAGTAACTCAGAATATGCATCATAGCAGCCATATGATCCTCACTAGGGGAATGCATAAATTGGCTAGCAACGCTTACTGCATAGGCAATATTAGGGCGTGTCAATGATAAATAAATCAATCTCCCAACCAACCTTTGGTATCTTTCTTTGTTAGTTGGAACCTGATCCACATAAACACCAAGTTTATGATTCTCAACAATAGGTGCATCAGCTGGTTTACAGTCAAGCATTCTAGTATCTGCTAGCAGGTCCATGACATACTTCCTTTGTGAAAGAAATAAGCCATGTTTAGATTGAGTGACTTCCACTCCTAGAAAATATTTCAGACTGCCCAAATCTTTCATCTCAAATTCAGACGCTAAACGCTTCTGCAGTTCCTTGATTTCTACAGTATCATCACCAGTCACAATCATATCATCAACATAAATAATCAACAAAGTCAACTTACTAGCCCTATGTTTAATGAATAGAGTATGATCAGTATTGGCTTGTTGGTAACTAAACTTCTTCATAGCTATAGAAAATCTGCCAAACCATGCCCGAGGAGACTGCTTTAACCCGTATAACGCCTTTCTTAATTTTCACACGTTCCCCGTGCCACCGGTAACGCTATACCCTGGTGGAAGACTCATGTACACTTCTTCTTCTAGTTCACCATGTAAGAATGCATTTTTTACATCAAATTGCCTCATGGTCCAATCCAAGTTTATTGTTAAGGACAACAAAATTATGACAGTATTCATCTTAGCCATATGTGCAAAAGTATCATGATAATCAACTCCATATGTTTGAGTGAACCATTTAGCTACTAATCTTGCCTTGTACCTCTCGACAGTACCATCTACATTATATTTAACTGTAAACACCCATCTGCATCCTACATGCTTCGTTCCCTTTGATAGATTAACAATGTCCCATGTATTATTTTTCTGCAGTGCCTTCATTTCAATATTCATGGCTTCAGCCCACTTTGGATCATTAAATGCCTCCTCAACACGGTTTGGAATTTTAATATTATCCGTTCTGGTCACAAAGGCTTTGCACTCAGGAGATAACCTGTGATCATGCACATAATGGGCAATAGCATATCTTGCTTTGCCTTCTGGTGAGTAACGATCAGGTGGAACCCCACGGTTCCGTCTAGGCGGTAAAACATAAGAATTATTAGCAATATGAATAGGAGCACTTACCTCAGGAATATCCAGGGGAGCTTGATCGGGTACTATTAGAGAAGCTTCATGCGGGCAATCGGTTTAGTGACAGCAGCGACATCAGGTAAAATAGCAGGTTC